ATAAAATGTACATGTGTTTGTTTTTATAAATAAAAAGGAAATAATTTCTTAATAATTGGATCATAAAACGATTAAGGTTAACTAAATCTATATGATACAAATAATATTGTTGCAATAAAAAAAATTGTATCTATTTCGTTATTTTGTTGTCCCCATAAAATATAATATCTAGAAAAATAATAATAAGTAATCATTCTTTATAATCATATTCTTACACTTCACAACACGGAGAATTTAGGATAGACTAAAATTATTTTAATAAAGAGTGGGTAAAATATTTCCAAAAATTTCCTATTAAATTAAGAGTAATCAACTATTGGATTAGGAATAGATAATGAAATATGTTTTTATTCTTTATCTAATTTAATTGATACTGAATCAATAGCAACTTTTGATACAACAAATATTGTATATTTTGGTTTCTCAAAATATAGTCAAACTCTAGATATATTTAAGGAAAGCTCAATTTTTATTAAATGGGATTTGACTTAAAGTAAAATAATTTAGAAGGTAGACTTAAAAATAAAGAAATTATCTTAAATAATAATAAATGAACAGGAAACTCAATTTATTGCAATTAGCCTTAATGAATAACAATAATAAAAATTGATTACAATAGATTGGAAGTCTATGAAATAAATTTAAACTTTTGAGCAATTGACATAAGAAAAAGGAATTTGCCAAGTTGTTGTTTACACTTCAGATGGAACTAGTTTTGTTACTGGATATTCAAATAGAACATTTAAATTTTGGGACACCAAATCTTGTAAACCTTTACAAATGTTCAATAGTTACACTTCTAGTATAGATTTAATATAAATATCAAATAGAGGTATAATGGCCTAGACTACCGATAACAAAATTAAATTATGGAATATAATTGCCTTGAATCAATAACAATCTTAATAAACAGGCCATTTAGATTAAATTAATCGTCTAATAGTTTCTCCAGATGGATTATCATTAGTATCTGGTTCATAATCATAAATAATAAGATGGAATTTAAAAGAAATGAAAAAGATAGATATACTATTAGAAGGAGTAAATCTTCCATCCTATTTTTCCTTTTCATCTGATGGGTAATATTTTGCAGCATTTGAAGAAGGTAATTGGATTAAAGTGTGGAAAATAACTTCTCTAAATATTATTGAACATTGTTTTCGATTACTTTTCTCTATTCATACAGAAAATTTTCAATTCAATAATGAAAAAAATCAACTAATATCAAAAACTAAAGATAAATAAATTTTGATATGGGATTTAGAGAATGCTTACCTTTGTAAAAAGTTACCAAATTCTATTTTAAAACCTGAAGAATCCTTCACAATAATTTCTTCTGATACTAAATTAATTGTAACATCAAAACCATTCAAAATTATATATCCTGAAGAATAGATGTTATTTATAAATGATAAACTTGTAATTGGTGCTATAGCAATATCTCATGATTCAAAATTAATAGGAATTGAAGATTTTAATAAATCAATCACTATATGGTCAGTCGAAAGTAAGAAACTATTGCATACATTTAATTTTGCAAATTCAAAAAGTTCTCAAATTTTAGCAATTGCTTTTTCTAAAAATAATAAAAAATTACTTTCTACACACATGGATGAAATTGTTAGATTATGGAATGTTGTTGATGGAGAGTATTCATTACTTTAAGAAGTTTAAGTCTTTTAATTTAAGTAGTTTGGAAGTGTTTAAATCTTTCCAGTAGATGAAGATAACTTTTTAACACTCTGGGCAGAACATTGGGGTTATGATATTTTTACAGAATGTTTACTTAGTTATTATTATTGGTAGAATCCTTAAAGAAAAGATATAGATATTTCTTCAAATCATAATTATTTAAATTTTACTGCTGGCTATTCTGAATAGAAAAAAATGTTTGCTATATAATTTTAAATATGGCTACATTTATATGATATTAATACTAATTAAATTGTTGCTATTTTAGAGGGAAATTAATTGTAAAAATAAAATTTGTCAACAGTTGTTTCTTTTTCTTATGATGGAACATAACTCATCACAAAAGGAGCTAATCATATATTAAGATTATGGGATATATCAGACATTAACAACATTAAATTAAAGATCAATTTTAAATCACTCATAGAAGTTAAAGCAGCCCATTTCTTAATGGATGGAGAAACTATTAGAATAATTGGAAAAGATGATACAATTTATCATCATACCATATAATAGTTTACTTAAATATGTCGAATCTCTAAATAATAATAATTTGAATTTTTGGATACCTAAATTAAATAATGTAAGTAATTTAAAGTGGATATTAAAGATTTAGAATTTAGTATAGTAGATGTAGTAAAAAATGAACTAAAATAAAAAGTCAATTATGTTAATTCAAAGATATCAAATTTTACATTTACACCTTCTGGTTAATAATTTATTTTAGGTTTAGAAGATGGATCTATACATATATATTGTGTTAGTAAATAGATTTTAGATGAATATTAAAGACCTGTTTGTTATAAAATTTTTGCTAGAAGTACTTAATTACAAGCAGACTTTTGTCAAATAGGGATGTCTATTTTTAAAACTAAAGAGAATGAGAACCTTTAAAAATTATTTATTGAGAAAGGTGCAATAATCTGAGGAGTTAAATATTCTATAAATAAAATATATTATACATCTATTTTCATTTCTTTAAATTTTTATAATTTATATATTTAAATTAAGTAATAATAATTTATTTTATATTGTTATTAAATATATTTCATAAAATCTTTAAGAATTTAATAAAATAATAACTAAAATTCTACTTGCAATATTGAATGTAATCAAACGAATATACAATTCTTTATGATTTTATTTGGAATATACTTATAATAGTTTTGATGGATTTAAATTTATATCTAAAGATTTATTTTGAATTAGTTTAGTATTATCAATAAATTAAATTTAATTGAAATTGAAATACCTATATATTTTGTTAAGTATTGTTAACAGAATCTCTTTGGTCAAAAAAAGAAAATGTTTTAAACATTACATTCATAATAAAAAGACAAATTAATTATTTACAGAATATCTTTTTTTTATTCAGGAATATCCAATGAATTTCTTCTTTTGTATTAATTATTTATTAAAAGTTTTCAGTTGTATCCATATTTTAATTTAAACCTGTATTTGAATTTAGTCTCAATTTATAAGCTAATATTGGCTTTAAACCTACTAATCAGTTCAATATTCAAATTAACTATTTTTACAAAAGAGATTTTCATAATATAAGACTTAATTCAAACAACTAATTTTAGGCTTAATGTATTAAATTTATTTTGTTTTGGAGATTTTATGATTATAATTTCTTTGAAATGGCAAGTTCTAAAATGAATATAATAATTTGGCAGATACTATACAACAATTATTTAGTCTTATAATTATTTAAGAATTCTTCAAATATAGTTATCTTTCCAAGTACTCAATTGAATTCTATTAAATTTAATATTATATATAATACATTAAAAAAATGATTGCTTATGATTAAGCATACATAAAATCACTTTAAAAAAAAGCTCGTAATTATTCTTTTGTGTGCAATTTGAATATCTTTCTTATTATTATATGGATAATTTAAGTACTTTAAAATAATATGATCACTTTTAATCCTTAATTGTAATTTAATACTTTTGATTATTAATTGTTGGAATAGAATTCTATAAAAGAACCTGAATGGTGTTTTTCATTTGCATTTAATAAGGATTCAACAATTTTAGCAGTTGGATGTTAATCTTACATTAAATTGTTTGAGTTCACTAATGGGAGAGTCTCATTAAATTAAATATTAATGAATACAGACTTTGTGAGATCAATATATTTTATGAAGAAGTCATAGAATTTTATATCAGGTGGTGAGGATTCTTATATTTTGGTTTGGCAACAAAATTAAGATAATTAATGGTTCATTTAATAAAAGCTTTTAGGACATTCTAAACCTATTAAACATATAATTATGAATTAAAATGAAGATCTTATAATTTCATGTAGTAGTGATAAAACAATTAAATTTTGGGTCAAATATAATGAATGGGTTTGCTCCTAAACTATTACTAATCATACATCATAGGTTTTAAGTTTAAGTATTAATGAATCATAAAATAAATTAATATCTTGTTCAGAAGATAAATCAATATTAGTTATGGAATTGTCTTCGATAACAAATATGTGGTTTGTTAAATAAAGAATATTTTTACAGGAATAAGGTAGAAGACTATGCTTTATTGGAGATAATTAATTTACATTTTAACCTAAAAATAAAGATATATTATATTTATTTTAATGGAACAGTACATCTTAATAATTTTATTAAGAAATGGAAATACCTGTTGATAGCAGTCTTGATACTAACTATTATTTCCCTTAATAATTTATTAATTAGAAGTAACTTTTAATCAATAAAAACGGAAATTATATAAATTTGTTAAGAAGGAAGGTTGATGGAACATTTATTAAAGAAAAAGCAATAAAATTTAATACAAATTAAATCTTTGGTACAATGGATGTTTCAGGGGATTATTTAGTAACTTGGGATTAAGAATAAAAATAACTGTAGTTTAGAAAATTTAGTGAAATATGAAAAATATTCACATTTTAGTTAAATTAATCAATGAACTAACTTATTAAATAACATAATTAATTAACTTAATTTGTATATTAATATTAAATTAATTAATTACTTTTACTTTCTTATTTTAATTTTTAATAACATTTTATAACTGTTATCATGATAATTCTTCCTTTCCATTATCATTCATATTTAAATTGGTGTTATAATAATTAGTGTGATGAATTTAATATTGATTTTGTAAATTTATTTAAAATTAAATTTAGATCTTATTATTTTGAAAAGTATTCTTTTAATATAAGACCTAAATTAATTATTTAAATAATCATTTGAAATTTATGAATATTAAGTTACAATTTTTTTTGATGTAAAAGTAGAATCAAATATTTAATATAATTATAATATGGAATTTATGTCATTTAAAAAACGTTTTATAAGCATAGGCTGCGATACTACAAGCTAGAACAATTTTTGATCCAATAATTATTTTATTTACATTTTTCTATTATTATTATTAATTTTCTCTATTATTTTTTATTTTGAAATCATTTTGAATTTATTCTTTATTAACTTTATTAGATTCATTATTATCTTTTGTTAAAATTGCAAATAATTAATTAATAATATTTTTATTATCATTTTATAACATCTTTTCATTATTTCTATTTTATAAAAATAATATTGATTCCTTTAAATTAATTAAATTAAGTTAAGTTCCTTATTATTCTAATAATCCCTTTAACTATGTTCCAAATTTATATAATTATTAATCATTAACACAATTAATAATAATTTTTTAATTTGATTGTTAAACTTATTTAATTGCAATAGCATAGCTTAAAAATTAAATCAATGTTTTTAAATAAATATTGCCTCCAAAAATTCCACAACCCCATCTTCCTGTAGAAATATCACAATTAGGTTAATTTTTCAAGGATAATTCAAACCCTGAATAACACTTTAATAATTCTCGATAGATATTTTCTTCTGTAAATTAGTTTTCACCATAAAATGGCTTAGCATCAATTGACTTTTATTAATAATATGAGATATACAAGCACATTATAACTCTCTTATAGATCCATAGAAGGGAAACTATGAAAGGATTATTCATACCCAGTATAATTGCTATATTTTTTCAAATTTTCAATTAATACTGCTTCTGTTTCTTTCATTTTTGGGATGAAAATCATACAAGCAATTGCTTCAGGGAATATGAGCATAATAATCTTAATTTATTATTTAATTTTACTTCTTCTTATGCACAATTCCAAGTATCAAGAACAAGACCTCCAATATTTTCATCAGCAAAATCTACAACAGTAGAATTGTTGTGATCTTCATTTTTCAATTAAGTAAATTCAAAATTAATAGTTTAATTACTATTTTCTTATAATTTTTTCTTGAATTCTTCCTTATTAACTGAGTTCTTTGAAAAAACTATTTGTTAATCTCCAATAGCATTTTAATTTAAATAAAAAGTTTTTATATAGTGCTAAATACATTTTAATTTCTATTCAGAAAGATAATTATTAGAAAATTTTATATGAACCATATCAATTAGATAAAATCCACCTTAGGAGAAATCTCGCTCTAATAAGCCTAGATACATTAACATAATTAATCTGAAAACTTCTACTCTTTTTAATTATACTTTTGATTAAGTATCCCATTATTAATATATACATTCTAGATTTACTCGTAATTAATCAGGATTATTGAAAATCTCTTTTTTGAGATAATTCTTAAACTCCAATTATCCTTTTTGATCATTGAAAATATTCTATAAAGTTGAATCAAAATCAATAGTTTGATGAATATAATCTAAATAATTCTGTTGAACAAATCCTTTCAGGTTGCATTTAAATGCATTATTTGTCTTCTACGAGCTTTATTAGACTTGGAAAAATATTTTACTAATTGATTTTATCATATTAAATTTTGATAATAATTTTTTTTATATTCTAATATCGATAAATGGATAAGAAACTATATCAAATATTTAATATTATTTTGTTTTTTAGATTATAAGTTTAAATGCTATTAAATAGTTTAAAGAATATTGTATTAAAATAACAATATAATTGATAAATATTGCCTTTTAATGAAGAATTCTTTGATCTATTTATAAATATTAGTTTTATTTCATTATAATTTTCAAGCATAATTAATCTACAAATATTAAGAAAATACTTATAAAATCAATTGTCATAAAGCATTTAGATTATATAATTTGTAATATAAGTTTAGTTTCATGAAAAGATTCAAATCCAGGAGTATTTAAAATTAAAGAAATTCCCAATAATCTCAATTAATTTACACAGTTAATTTCTTATTTTTTATTTATTAAATTATAAACAATATCTAAAGTACTTATATAGTGATCTTAAATAATAAGAAAAATGTAATTGTATTAGTGATAAAACTGTTTATAAATTAATTTTAAATTTATAATTAAATATTCACAATTTTTAGAATCATTCTTTTCCATATAATCTATCTATTTCTTTATGATTTAATCCTTTTGTCTCTTTGACATAAAAGTAAAAGAAAATAGTTGATAATATTGTTAAAATTCCAAAAACAATGAAAGCTCCACTCATTTAGATTCCATCTAACATAAATGGGAATATGTATAAAACAAGTAATTGCCAAGCATATAAAGTCACAAAACAAAAGTAGGTTCCCTCACTTGAATTGATTTCAGGTGTCATTGACTAAAATGATAATAATAAATGATAATTACCCATGTTATAGGTCCTAAAGTCATAGCATATTAAAATGCGAAAAGACAAATAATCACAAATTTAACAATAGTGGCAGCTAAAGCATCAGAGTAACTTAGACCAATAATTAATATCTAACAAACAATAAGAAATATTAATCCATAAAGTAATAAAGGTCTCTTACCCCATCTTCCATAAACATATTTTGAAATAAATGCTGGTGTAAATTGAACTAATCCAATAATTAGTGTAAATATTGTATTTAAGGTTATATCTCCATCAGACATTATACCAAAGATTTAAGAACTGTATGAAAACAAAGCAAATAATCCACACCAAGTATATACAAATACTAAAACACATCCAATAGTTAATGTTTTAATATGCTTTTTCTTAAAAAGACTCAGTAATCCTTCTTAATGTTCCTCATTATATTACACTCTTAACTAACATTTCAACATGACTTAATCTATAAATTGTGGTTGATATATTTTCTCTATAATTTATTTTGCTGACAATGGCATTTTGATTTATACTAATCCAACAGGGCTATCCATTTTGTAGATAACGGTAACGATGAAGGATCTCAGAAAATGCAATACTGCTGGAATAGCAAATACAATCTGCCAATAATATGATTATTCTCCTCTTAAGTCATCATTTATATATCCTAAACCAATAAAATTTGTAAACAGTAATCCTCCAGCAACTAAAAAGCCTGCCATAACAGAGAATGTTTCATAATATTTCTAAGGACATAGCTCTTTTACATAGACAGGCATAATTATTGTGGAAATACCTAAACATACTCCATAACAAAATCTAAAGGCTAGTATTACTTCTCTGTTAGGTACAACTTGTAATATGCTCAAAACTCCACATATATCAGCTATCAAAAGTGATTAATTTCTTGTTGTATATTTTAATAATGGCTAGGTCATAAGAGCACCTACTACTTAGCCTATTGATAAGACTGCACTAAACAATCCCTGTTCTTCAATTTCAGTTCCTTTAAGCGTGCTTCATTTAATATATACTAATACATTTATGAAAATAATGTTGTGAATGACATTGATAAATAGGATAAAGAATATCCCAAAGAAAAATTACCACTCTGAATCGCTACTAGTATAACACTTAGGTGAAAAACAGAATTGACTTCTTCCTCAACTTCGTTTTCCAATTACACTGTTCCTCTCTTTCTTAATTTATTAGAAGGCATTGGAACAGGTGCAATTGGTTATTGTCTCACACTCGAATTCTTAGATATCACTGATTAACTGTTATCTGAGTTTAAATTTTCATCTTCTTAAGTTTATAATGGAATAACTTAGCTCGTCATTGTAAAATGATAGATTCGATATATATTAAAAATGTTTTATATAAGTAACTGAAATTTTCTTTATTTGATGCTATAAATTAAAAATAATCATCTCTTGTATAAAAACCAAGCTCTAACCCACCAAGTTCCTTTGTCTCTGTATTCTAAATCATACAATCTTTTAGCTGTGTTGTGCATATCCTAATTTAGAACTTGGCATTATGGACATTAATTAGATAATTCTAAGCCTTCATAAATAGTTCCTTTCCATCCATACCCTCCTGTCCAGCAATAACTATAATTAAATTATATATTAATTACCCAAAAGAACCTCCACCTTCTAATTTGCAATGTCTTTTGTGATCTTTTTTTGAGTCTTTATCATGTTATTACATTAATTCATGTGTATGAGCTCTTAATTTAAGCATAGTTTCAATTAATTATTAATTTCCAGCTTCAATAGAAATCATTTGTGATTTAGTTAACCATGAAGAATCTTATGGAGGTTGTTATTACTAATTTTATGATTAATTTATTTAAGATTATTATTAATATTATTATTATAATAATTATTGCTATTATAATTATTATTATTATTATTATTATTATTAAAATTATTATATCTAAGGTGCAAATTATATAATTGATTAGACTAAAACTTATTATGCTTATTGTTCTTCCATTAATTTTTTTTATGTTTAAATTTGTTTTTTCACTCTGTTAGACCAAAATTGTTTCTAATTATTTAATAATTTGTTTAATGGTTCAAAATGATTAGTATTACATAATTATTCAAATTATGCACGGAATTATGCTGCAAAATCTAGTTATTCTGTATAGACTTTTTACATCACATTTTATAGATTTTAATTTCTTTCAAATATTAATGTTAGTAAATGATTTTGAATGCCATTCTCAGGATTAGTAAAATTTTCCATCAAAAAATCAACATCAAAATTTGTTAAATCTTTTTCAGCTAAATAAAAGCATCTTTAAAAAACATCAGTTGCTTATGTTAAATATCCTTTCAAAACTTAGGTATCATAATTTGCAAATGCTTATAGATCTGTAATAACTTTTTTCATTTTCTCAATAAATTAATTGCAACATTTCTCTACAACTTATACAACTTTTTCAAATTCTTCTACAATTAATTCAGGGGAACATCCTGGTAAAGCATTACTCAAAAGTAAATATTTATCAGCTAACAATTCATAATTATTATTTATAATTTCAGGCATCTGATGATGTTTTTACTTTAATACTTTTATTATAAATTGCAAATACATGATTAATGATCTTCTCTAACAATCAATGGATTTTTTAATTAAGCCAATAATATATCTAAAGGAACGGTATTAGGGATTTGTTATTGGGGTTATTACATTTATATATTAATTTATTAGAGATATATTAATGTATATTGTACAAATAAATTTATACAAAAACAAAGAATAGATATGAAAATATTATTTAAAAGTATCTTGCAATTTGTTAATCAGAATTTCGATCATTTAATGGTAAAATAATTTATAATTTGATTTTATTACATCATTTAAATTATATTAAGTTGAAGAGATTTGTTGTTTTGTATTATTGATTAAGTATTTACTATTTTAGTAATGTTATTTAATTATGAAAATTTTTATTAGTCTTATTACAACCTAGATTATATCAACAATTATAGCATTTTCTGAGTTTGAAAAACCAAAAGAGATTATAGCATTAGCTTTGGAGCTCACAGGAATTATTGTTTTACTTTTACTTTATAAACTTAATTTTCCAGAGCTTTTTTAAAGGGCAATACTGTTGGGTTAAGCAATAATAATTTTTGTTTTGATGCCAAATTCACAATATAAATATTTTACTGGGGCTTATCATATTATCGTTCGTCTAACAGTTTATCAATAAGTTTCTAAATTGTTAATGTTAGAATGGCTAAGTATTATTACTAAAAAATATAAAAATAGTTTTAGTACTCATCTTATTTATATTTGGAACTTCAATTGAAATACATTAAATTTTTCGTAGCATTTTTGCATTTCTTGGTTTATTAGTTATTCAGAGTATCCATATTTATACTTAAATTGAAAAAAATTAAAAGAAACCAGATATCTTAATTCATTCAAAAATACAATACACAGGGTATGATTCATAACCTGAAAGAATTACAGATCCAAATTTTTCTGTATTATATTTGGATGATTAATTTAATGAAACATGTTTTTAGAAATAAAGTCCAATACTTAAAAGTTAAGAAATTAGTTTGTAATCTATTCTACATGATTTAATTATCAATAAAATTGACTCTAATTCAAAATCCATACTTTAATGGAAGAATCCAGGTTGCTCATTACAAAATTTATTAGATTAAATTAGAGCTAACAGATTACCTATGATAGTTTAAATAATTGATTATAGTCATCCATAAATAAATAATCATTTTGTAAGAATTATTTACTAAAATGATTTCTAAATATAATTTTTAGAATTAGAAGAAAGAGATAGATATTTAAAATAGAAATATATATTTGTTATTTTGAAATAACTTTTAAGTACAATGTCACATGAATTTGGAACTTCCTTAAATTATTTATTGGCAATAGCTTAAGTAGCAATTGAAAAATATTCTGATTCTGATTTGCTTACTTATTTTTTACCTATTAAATCTATGGGATTGATAATGCATAATTTTGTATTAGATATGGTAGATTACAATAATATTCAAGGAAAGAAACTTGAATTATAATTAGAAAAAATAGATGTAATATAATGTTATAATTTAGATAATTTAATTATTGGAAGAAGTCATTAATATCTTTATCCATACACTTTAATCAAAGGGTCTTAAAATTACATATGAAATCTTTTTAGCTGAAAAAACCA